CTCAGTGAGTAGTGAGTATATGAATTGTAAAGGACTTAGGTAGAGAAATAAGGGGAAGAAGGTGTTAAAGGAGGAAGATTAGCTAATTGATCACTTGCTATGATCCAAGCACTGGACTAGGTTCTTTCCACATAGTAATTTACTTAATCAGTTTCATGCTTTAAATATCTATTCAGAGAAATAAAAGGAAAATCAGCTTGGAGTAGTTATGTCCAAAAATTATTTTGAGATGGTCATTGAGATTTCACTTGCAAATACATGAATATATTAGTTTAGATTTTAGATGAGAGAAGTAGTGCCAGATGGAACCTTAAAAACAGCAAAGTCCAGAGAGGTTCATTGGCTTTCTTAAAATTACAGTCTCTTGAACCAATAACCCAGCCTAGCATTATTCATATATCTAGATATCAGGCTATCATTTATGTTCTGTTAACTGCTTTACATATTGCTTATGAATATGGATGCATTCAATATGAATTACTGAGAGGGAGAGCACTTCGGATAGTAGTGGAGCTTACTCATTTGCAAAATGCTACAAAATCTCTAGATGAGAGATATAAAGAAACACACACACACACACACACACACACACACACACACACACCCAAAAAAGTCTTAACCAATGTTTACAATACAAAGGAGTGCAGTTAGGGAGAAAATAAACTATTTTCTGGTATAGAGCTTGTAATAAATAATGTGCCCTTCACAGTGCTTGCACTTTAAGTTCACCTTAAATACTAATTGTCTTTCCTATTAGAAACAGTTGGTATGTTGACATTTGAATAGAGTGTTTACATGTTGCAAATCCTTGAGTCTTGGCATGCTGCAAGACTGGGAGGACAAAAAAATGCCTTCCTTTGCATCCAGCAGCACATTGACTGATGAAAAATGTAAAATATCATCTCTACCTGACACCAATAAGCTGGAACTGTTATCACATTAAAAATACTGTTCATAAGTACAATGTTTTTATTCATTCAACAGTATTTGTTGAGATCCTCCTCTATGGTAGGCACTGTCTTATCCTTTAGATTCTGAAGTTTATTATATTTAGCAGCTTGATTATAATTAATTTGTTAAGAAGTTTAAACGATATAGTGTTCAAGGGAATTCAAAGATATATTTAAGCACAAAGTCATAATGTAAGAATTTAAACTTGTTTTAGTAATATTAATTCATACAAAGACATTTTCTAGGTGATTATCTTAAGACTCATGGAATCTAATTTGAAAATAGGCTAAGCAAAAAGATTTCAATAATATTGTTTCCTATTCTTTCCATATTTAACTTCCAATTTGAGGCAAAACTTTAAAGGCTCAGCAAATAGTTCCTAAATAGTCTGTCACTTTAAACCTCAAATACTCTGAGCTTTCTAAGCCCTCACAATAGAAAACATTTCGGGACATTCTAGGACTATCAGGATTTATTCGGTAAATATATAAAAAATGTAAGCTGATATTGATTTTCCACTAAGATGATTTTCACCAGTTTCTACTTCATATTTTCAAATTTATGGCTGACATAAAATATGATGGCCATGTCTTTTTTTTCAGAGTGTAATACTGCTCGATATAGAGAGTTCATTATATATTCTTACTAATAAGGCCTATAAAAATTAATATATGCTTTTACTAGTTGGGCCTACAATAATTAATATTTAAATAATCATAACATTGAAGGTAATAGATTTTTGATATTTTGAAATACAACTTTTTAAATGGTAGATTCTTCTTTTATGTCCACAATTTATTCCCTGGCATAACTGCTTTTATAATCAGCAGCAGCAAGCCAATTCTATCAAATCCATATCATTTACCATGAGATATCCTTAAAAAGAATTTTGCTGTCTGCAGGATTTACTTAAACAGTGGCTGAGGACCATACATCATCTTAAGGATTGCATTTCACTTAAAATGTAATGACAGCCCATGTCTTTTTGCTGAAGCTCAACTCCTAAAATATTTAAACCAGAAGGAATGCTAACAAGTTCAATGTTTTATTTACTAGACTTTTTCAAAAGTCAAAGTACTTGCACATAGAGTGTATCATTATAAAGGCCCTGTTAATACCATCTAGACATTCACATTTTTTAGGAATTGAGACATACTTCTATGATAAAGTAAAAATAATATGAAAATGAGCATAGGATTAAGAAATACAGGCCCTTAAATTCTAACCATAGCTATGTCACTATCTGTGGTGTGTGTGTGCATTTTTAAATAATATATTTTTATTGAAGGGAGAGGGAGAGAGAGATAGAAACATCAATGATGAGAAAGAATCATCGATCAGCTGCCTCTTGTATGCCCCACACTGGGACCGGGAATCGAGCCCACAACCCGAGCATATGCCCCAACCTCAGGAATAGAACCATGACCTCCTGGCTCATAGGTCGAAGCTCAACCACTGAGCCACACCTGCTGGGCATGTGTGTGCATATATCTTGAATAAATATTATCTCTGTATCTAGTTAACACATAAGTAGAATAAAGGGATTACTTTGTAAACATTGCTATAATTCCTTCCAGCCCTAAAACTCACAGATCAATGGATCCAGAACTGAAGGGTCCAATTGACTCATTTATTTTGGCACTTCAAATTCAGAAAACTAGTTCTCACACTTGGTAATGGGTTTTCAAAATAGAGGTGTTCTAGTTTATCAATTAGTATTATTGCCTTGGCTTGGGTCATATTATCAGCATGTGATTAGAGTCACAGTCTAAGAATGAACCCAAATTCATAGTTGACAATATAGGAAATGTGCTCAGGTTTCTCAGTTTGTTAAAGTCATGGGCATCTACCACAGCAAATGTGGCTTGTCATGATTTTTCAGCTTTTGAAGAAAGTAGGTACCTTCTAAACTTGCTGGTAATAAATCCTATTTCTCTCCCTATACTTTTCATAGGTCAAAAAGATAACAAAGTAAATGTAAATGAATGAACATGACTGTTTTAACATGCCAAAATAAAAGTGGGTGGAAATCTTTCCTTATTTAGGAGGGCAGCCATACAGACACACTATTTCTTGAGCCAGTGTGGTTAGAAGAGATTCTGTGGAGGAAATCTCCATTGGGTCACACGAGGAAACACACTTGCAGCTCAGAAACAATTGGGGAAATTTGCTTTCCTATTTTCATGAAATCAGCAGTGATCCATGTAAACACCGTTGAGAATCTGAGGAAGGTTTTCTGTCTCTCTCCACTTAATTACAAGCTACTTCAAGACAGTGATAGTTCCTTGTTCATCTTTATCCCTGCTTGCGGCATTGCCTGACACAGCATGCCTATTCAATCGTGGGTAAAGAAATTATTCTGAGGATCAAATAATCCTCCATCAACACAGACTCTTCCTCTGCTCAAATTCTTCTAGTGCTCTAGAGAGCTCGTTCCCTCCCATGGCAGTCCTATTAGAAACAGTTGGCGCCTCCTTCTTATGAATTGAAATTTGCCTCTTTCTCTTGAATTTGATGTAGAAGATTGTGGATTTGAGTCGTACAGTACTGATGCTGCATGTAATAGGACTATTAGAATTAGTCACAAATAGACTCAAATAGATCTCATCAGAACATTCTAATTCGTTTGAGTTTTTGCCATGAATGGAATAAAGTTCTTTTGGGAACTACTTTTCTTGAAGATTCCTTAGCATCCCAACTTTTCTCACCTGCTGTTGTATGCTTATATCTGGCCTTTCACCTAAGGGAGGAGAAATGCTGTACAGCAACTAAGTTCACAAGTGAATTCTCCAAAAACTTAGTGTAATGACAAACTTATTTTGGTTTGGTAAAGCCCCAAGGGCCTTACCATGTGCTATAGAATAAACAATTACTAAAGAGAAATGTACAACATCATCACCAGTGAGTACCTCTAGGCTAAACTGTCATGTCATTGAAACTAATAAAATTTTCCCATGATGTTCAATGCCATTTATTTATTCATTCAACAAATATGCATTGAGATCTTATAAAACCTCACTTTATTATGTTTCACATCTTATATTTAACTCCTTGATGTTAATTTTATTTAGGTTCTTTTAAATAATAGGACAAAAGTTTTGCAAATGTTATGTTTATTTATTTGTCTATATGCTAAAATAAACTTTTAAATAGTGGGGCTAGAGAAAAATATTTTAAGTTGGTATGTTATTAAAATTGTACACCTATGTGCCATTTATAAATGTGATGCAATCTATACATATCCTTTTGTTATATGAAGAAATTATAATAATGTGTTATCAGGATAGAAAAGAGAACTGTCTTAGATTTTCTTAAGTGTTAGGATTATTTCCTAGATACTAAAAATCCCCCAAAATACATATTTAAAAATACTTCAATAATTTAACTTAAGATCATGAGAATAGTAGCTGCATTTGCAAATCAGCTTAGTGAAAGTATATGGGAAACCTAATAGTTTTCTGAATAGAACAGTTCTGCTTCACTATGTTTCTTCTTCACTACATGAATATTTCTGCCTTCACAAACATGGTAAACAGGTAAAAATAGATCAAGTAGAGACAGTTACACACTTTGTTCAACTCAGAAGTCAGAGAGGTTAGAATTCAATTACAAATACTTTTCATTTGTTACATTATGCAAACTTGGAACTAGAGATTATAATATTTAGTGAAAATATTTCATGTTTTAAGATGTGCATTTTCATTTCCCAAATAGATTAAACAGATAATCAATATACAAACAGTAATTGTACCACAAACTTACATTACAGACAACTACAAAAACTGTGAAAAAACAATGTTTATAAATGATAGTGAAGAATAAATTATTTTTCAATGCACATAATTAGGTATATACAGGATAATTTAAATCCAAATGGAGTGATTGCTAATGCGGAACTCTTAAAAATCTTCATCAAGATATACATTACCCGAGAGTGATCAAAATAAATTGTGACAGAAAAGCAGAATGTCTCATCTCTCTTTTCATTCTCTAAACTTCTATGATATTTCATCGAAAGACTTTGCCAGGTGTGCAAATGTTGGAAAACTCTAATGCCAAAACCATTTCTCTAAATTACCAACAGACTTATATTCTTGATGCCTTTTCACATGATCACAAGCCAAGCATGCATGTGATTCCCAAAACCGTGGAAGATTTACTGTGAAATCTTTCCTCCAGTTAAAGTAACTAAGGTACAACTTATTGTTTTTGTCAACTTCCTTCAGATACTTTGCTAGCTCACTTGGAGAGTTATAATCTTCCACATGAATGAATGAGTCTGCTGGAATATAATTTTCATAGTTTTCCCTAGATGGCCCCAGGACAATAGGTACGGAGCCAGCCAGAAGAGCATTGTAGAGCTTTTCTGTGATGTAATCTTTGTGGATTGAGTTTTCGAAGGAAAGGTAAAATTTACAAGTAGATATGGTAGGAATCAAATTTTTATTATTCACATACTCTCCAAATGCTTGCCCATAGGTATGGATTTCAATGCTTTTGCTTAGCTCGTTGTAATACTTGACCCGGGCGTGCTCAGGGTTCCAGTTACTTACAACCCAGCACACCAACTTCTCTTTGCTTGGCACTTCAAACACGAAGGGGTTTGTGCTCACCGTCAATACGCCATAAGGCACTTGGATATCGGAGTCGCGGCGATAAGTCAGAGTGAGATTGAATAGGTGCTCAATGCCATTCTTCTGGGGCGTGTGAGTCGGTGATTCCAAATTCATCCAAATCCATTTCTGGAAGGGTGGCCTGGCCTGCTGAGGTAAATTCGTCAGATCCCAGCTGATGTCTCGGTGATGGATCAGAACGGCGTGAGATTTGTTGTAGAGAGAACGGTCTGTTGTGAGATGGCATCCTTGGATGTTGAACATGGCTTGGCAGGAGGTAAGGTCAAAGGTCTGCCCAAACGGCCACACCCAAATCAGAATAGTAGTTTCATTAACAGAATCAGTTTTGGTGGTGAAGAAATTTTTCATTTTCAGCACTGAGCTGGTTGACTCCATTGGACTGAAGACCCAGCTGTTGGTGGGCTTGATGTAAATGAGAAGACATGCCATAAAGAAGCCCAGAATAAAGCAGACAATTAAAAATGGGCGGAGAATTCCTTTGGATGTTGATGTCATAATTTTTTCTATGAAACAGAAAGAGAAAGAGGGGTAGGTAGGGGTAAGGATGAAGAATTAATCATAAATATAACTTGACATAGACATGTTGTAAATCCTAAAATACATTTAATCACAGAATCAACTGAATTTTCCTTTTTAGTGTTATCAAATAACTGAAAGGAAGGTTCCCCTAAGGGTTACAAATGAGTCAGAATTTGGTAAACATGTACCAGCTATCTTCAAGCCAGTTACAGTTTATTTTCTCAATGTCACCCTTAGCTGCTATATTTTTATTTGCTTGCTAAACACTGCAAGACAGACTGTCATCACGAAAGCTTTGGCTAAAAGTTTTAATATTTTGAAACTAGACCAGACTTGTGAAAATTTCCCAGTTGATATAATCATTCATTTGCTAGGGTACTTTTTGAGATTGCAATGTAACTTTGCAGTTCAGATGAAATTCAGTAAAAAATAAAAAACAACTTTTAAAAGGAAAAAGTTATGTTTTTGTATTTTTTGGTGTAAATTTATATTCACTGTTAAAAATGGCAACTCTTAATCTGATATCTGTTTTTGTTTGTTTTTATTTTGTTTTTTTAGTAAGTGCACTAATGCAAACATTGAATAAATAAAAACCCCTTATTATTTAATTTAAAAAAATTTTTTTCTTACCCTTTTTATTGTTTGCATTTAATAATTTCTTACTACACCCAATATCTACTAGGATGTGATACTCAAATGCCCTGTTGGCATTAGAACAACATTCCCACTTATGCAGTATGGGCCATTCAAAATAGTTTTTTGTAGCATTAAAATGATATTAGTATTATGGAGGGGCCTAAACAAAATAAGCCAGTCAGAGAAAGACAAGTATCACACGATATCACTTATATGTGGAATCTAATGAACAAAATAAATTGATGAACAAAAAAGACCCAGAGACATTGATGCAAGCAACAGACTGATGTATTTCAGAGGGAAGATGGGGGCACGGAAGGAGATTAACCAATGAACTTATATGCATATATGCATAGCCTATGGACAGACAATAGTGCAGGGAAGGCATGGGGAGGCTATGGGAGGAGAGTGAAGGAGGTCAATGGGGTGGGGGGGAAGGACATCTGTAATACTTTCAAAAATAAAAATAAATTTTAAAATGATATTAATATTATAAAAATAACAATAAATGAATTATCAAAAGGGAAGAATTAAATTTCATGGAGAACAGTATTGATCTTATGAATTTTAGCAGATTGCAGGTTAAAAAGATGAATCAAGGCTTTTAATTTTTCTTAATAGAATTATGGTCAAGGTTTTTCCTCTTTGCCATTGATGGCTCTTTATGAATATAAACACAAAGATAAAATATGTTTACAAAACTGTCTCTGAAACTCATTATTCTTCTCAACAAAATGATATGGTCTTTCAATTTCAAATTCTTTAAAATATTTCAAAATCTTGATCAAAACTAGTGTAGAAACATTAGATGTTACTTAAAGAAAAAAGGAGGAATTGTTCTTATTTAAATACCTAAATTTATGTGAACATTTTAAAAAATCCTATATTTTATTATATAGTTTTCTTAAAACCTATGATATTTCCTATATGGCAAAGCTTGATTTTGTGAGTCAAAAGATTCTGGACATTTTATCCTAGACACACCACTAAAGAAGAATTATTGGAATCAGAAACTGAGACTTACTGTCAGAATTAGCTTCAGACCTATGAAGTCATTAACAAAGGAAAAGAAAAGAGTATATTCTAAATATGTCAGGAACTATTAATTAACCACCGAGTGATAGAGAAAATCAGAATGAATATGAAGGAAATCTCAACTCTTTAGGACTAAATGACATTGATGGTACTACTTGTCAAGTTTTGTAATATGTAGTTAAAACAGTACTTATAAGAAAATGTATAGATTTGCAGTTTTCAGGAAATTAATTAACAAATTGGTCACTCAACAAGCTGTACTCAACAATGGTGCAAAGAAATAAGAAATAAAGATTAAGGTGTGGATAGAAATCATTGAAATTGAGAGCAGAGATTTGAGAGAATTAATATCACATATAACTGTGTGAGATGATGAATGTTAACTAAACTTATTGTGGTAATAATTTCACAATATATACATATTTTAAGTTATTTGTTGTATGACCTAAACTAATACTATTTTATATGTCAATTATAATTTTATAAAACTGGAAAAATATTAAGGTAAACTTTAGGTAAGTGTAATAATCAAGAAGAGAAAATCAAATTAAATATCTAAAAAGAGTAATATTGGTTTATCATAAAAAACTAAAAATGACTATTTGAAGTAATTTTATGGTAATAAATTTGAAAAACTGATGAAATAAATGGTTGTTTCTGCACAAATAGAAAAATGCCAATTCTAATCAGAAACTATGATTAAACAAATAACAATTAAAGAAATGGTATTCATAAATGCTAACTAAAAACAAATACTAGAGCTAGATAGTTTTGCCAGAGTGATATCAACAATTCAATGAGTAAAGAACACTGCTGTCACTTAAAAAATTATTCTAGAAAACAGAAAAATAAATAAAGAAGCTTAACTCATTATATGAAGCCAATTATTATCTTGTTGACAAAAGAAGATATGAAAAGCTAAAAAAAGTTGTATTTCACTTATGAACACAGTTGCAAAAATACAAAAATGTAGCAATAAAAAATATTGAAAATATATCATGATGCAATTCATGAACAGGTTTATGGCAGTTTAGTTACATTTGACACTACTGGGGTCTACAGACTGAGAACATTTATTAGGAGGATCCCCTTTTTAATGGAGTGATATTAACCTTTGGTAGACATGATTTGATTAAGCACTGCAGTGTTGTTATTGTTTTTCTCTATGTGACCAATGTTTAAGGATTTTTAGAAGTGCTCTCATTGAAAATGTCCATAAGTCCTTTTTGAGTTGAAATGCAATGGCAGAAACTATCTAAATAGATGATGTCAATTTAAAATAATCAGGTTAAACTTTAATAGCCACCGGCCACTGTTTAATAAATGTTCATTCTCCACTAGGCCTGTGCTGAGCACTTTGCACACATCATTTCTTTTAATTCTCATAGAGCCTTTATCATGGAAATCTTTTATCACCTCTTCTTTACAGCAGAGGAAAATGAGGGCCAGAGATATATCACTAGCTTAAGCATTGAGTTATGCTCTCTCTTGCTTTCTTTAAACAAATAATGCATACACCAATAATCCATTGAGGTACGTTAGCACCTCAAATTTTATTGTCTTGACATTCCTGGTCTGTACCATTTTCTCTATAATAAAGGACGACTCTTTACCCATGAGTTAAATTTAGATCAATTTCCCTAAATAAGAAAAATACGTTACATTTATATGGTGCTTATTAGTGCCAAACGTTGATCTGAGCACTTACATTAATATATATACATTAACATCTATACATATATATGTGAGCACATAAATTACCTTATTATATTCCAGTTTTACTGATGAAGAGTCTGGGGCCCAGAATGGTTAAGAAACTTGCCCAGGTTCACACAGTTAGTAAACGGCAGAGCACATTCAAACGCAGGCCATCTGGCTCCAGAGTCTGGGCATTTGATAACTATACTTTATATCACTGATTCCTTGGGTTGCAGCCAGAGAATGCAATCATCCTGGAGATACCAGAATGGAAGCTTCGTGACGGTCCTTGTTTCTTCACTGTTGTATCTTCATCACCCGAAAATAGCAGGTGCTTAATAAATGCTGTATATGTTACCTGAATGACTGATGAATCCCCAACTATGTGCAAGGTAAAATGCTTGGTAGCTAGAAAAACCAAAATGAACCAAGTATGAATGAATGAATATATATGTAGTTGATTTCTCGATACATTTAACATATATTTCTCAACAGAATAATTACCATTAAAATTGACATGCAGGTATTCCTATCACTAGATGAGCAAAATCTCCCAGTTTTGCCTCTCTGTCATGTCTCAAAGTTGGCATCAATCTAGCACATTTTAGTCCCCCCGCCCTTTTTTTTTGCCAAATGAGAAGGAACTAATCACCAGGCAGAAACAATGTTCCGCCCACTGTGTGTCTTTCAGTTTCCTCTGCTTCCTGGACATTTTGTATTACTTAGGGTTCTTCTTGTTAACTCTCTGCACACCCTCTCCCCTCACCTTTTAACTGCTGTCAGGGTTAAGTACCAAACAGTAGGAGCAGTTACTCAGTATCCCCTGCTTTGTACAGAAAACTGTCAGAAAAGTTGGCCTCTTGGAGCCAAATTGGCATCCCCTTGACAGGAACCTTTTCACCTATTCTTAATAATTGGATACTCAACATGCCTTCAACTGTTTATCAATAGAATCTATTTTTAAAGCATCTGGAGCTGTGTCAGGATAGAGCTCACCAGAGACAGTAAGTGTATGGCATAAAGCAAACTGCAACAGCAAATCATATCATTAAACTTTTTCAATTATTTTAATAGTTTTAAATACTAGGAAAAATGTAATTTAAAGATGTTAGCATTAAAAATAACAGAATCTTTAGTAAAAGTACTACTTTAGAAAACTTGGTATGCATATGATTCTGTTTTCCATTAAAACACAACCTTCAGTCATACCTTACAATTGTTCTACTGAGTATTAAAGAATGGAAGATAGTTTGTAATAAAAAAGGGTTCAAGTTGTGCTTCTCAAGCCATAAATATACTTAAAGGTATTAGGGAGAGAATTGTGAAACCAAGGAGAGCAGGGGCTTCTTCAAGAAATGGTAATTCTACTTTAAGTTTTTGTTGTTGTATGTGTGTATGTATATTTTAAATTAAATGAGGTGTCACCTCACACATGTCAGAATGGTTATCATTAATAATCAACAAATGACAAATGCTGGCAAGGATGTGGAGAAAAGGGAACCCTAGTACACTGCTGGTGGGAATGCAGACTGGTGTAGCCACTGTGGAAAACAGTATGAAGTTTCATCAAAAAATTAAAAATGGAACTCCCATTTGACCCAGTAACCTCACTTCT